GGCCATGGCATCTAGCTCAGCAGCCACACATCACAGCTGGCTTTGCCCCTGGAAGGTTGACATGCCCTCCCTACACAATACTCTGAGTGACTATAAACCTGGCAACAGACCAAAACACTCCTTTTATTCATTCTCCTCACAAAAGTACCAGAGGAAAGAGGACTATCACGAAAACCCTGGAACCAGGAATCCGCCACCTTTGAGCCCACTATGACAACAAACTAATGTGCTTCTGCCCACACCTGAATCTAGAAGGTAGACTCTCCCATTTCTCAAAAGAATGGTCTTGATTGACCACAAAGCTGTAGCACAGCATATGCCCCTTCTGCCTGCCTGCTGCCAGATGATTCATTCCAAAACTGTGTAAAAAGTTGTAGACTAGGATTAGTAACAGTAACTTTAATGCCAACCAATAAGCTATGTACTGTAGGCTACAGCTGACATGCATAACTATCAAAATTAAATACTGCCTGGCAGATAGGAAGGCATCCAGGGAAGGGTAGAAAAGTTGGAGACTGCTAGCAGAAAGGAAATGTTCAGGTAAGAAATTCACCATTCTGCAGCCAACATCTCCCACACCTCTGATATGTATGGGAAGTAACATGAAGTGAACAGAACTCAGAAAAACAGAATGAGATAGGGAAACCCTGCTGAGTTAGTTGCCCAAAACAGCAATGCTTTTACAGGACCACTACCTGCACCATCTTCCTGCCAAAGAAGGTCTCTGCAGAAGACAGGGTGTCCATTTTATAGTATATAAGAAAGGTAATGACCAATGACCACGTAGCTGCATTGCAGATCTCTGCAGTCGAAGCACAAGCTTTTTCTGCTGGTAAAGTCACCATAAAGCTTGTGAAGTGTGCCTTTGTTCTGTCTGGAACAGGAACACCTGATGCCTTGTATACCTCTGTGATACATAGCTTGATCCATATAGCTAGTAATAGCTTGGATACCCTGAGTCCTCGGTGCTTCCGATGAAAGGAGATAAGGAATCTGATCATCTTGTCAATTTGGTGCACTTGATATAGATCTTTCGGTATGTCTACACTGCAGTTAGACACCCGCAGCTGGCTTGTGCCAGCTGACATAGGCTAAAGGGCTTGGGGTTAAGGGACTGCAGCCCATCAGGATAATCCGCTGGCAGGCCGCGAGACAGTGTTTACATTGACGGTCTGCAGGCACAGCCACCTGCAGCTCCGAGTGGCCGTGGTTCACCGTTACTGGCCAATGGGAGCTGTGGGCAGCTGTCTCGCAGCCCGCCAGCACATTACCCTGACGGGCCGCATGTTGCCCGCCACTGGTTTAATTGCAGTGTAGACATTTTGGGCTTGGGCTGCAGACCAAGCTCTGAGACCCTCCCACCTTGCAGGGTCCCAGACCCCAGGTTGCAGCCTGAGCCCAAATGTCTCCACGGCAATTAAACAGCCCCTTAGCCCAGGCCAGCTGCAGGTGTGTAATTGCCACATAAACATACCCTTAGTGCTATCTCAATGTCTAAGTGTACCACAGTGTTTCTGGGGGTGCTGTGCCTTTGGACAGAATAAAGGAAGAATGATCTCCTTTGAGGCAGGGAAAGATGAATTTATCTCACACAAGAACAATTCCAGGATTCTTAGCACCACCTTGTCTTCATGGAACACATACTGAGGTTCCTCCATGGTCCTAAATAATTCTCATTTCAATTTTTAATTTTGAATTGACATTTTCTAAATAAAATGTCATTTTGAATAAAAAAAAAATTAGTTTTTCATTTTGGAGAGGAAACAAAAAAAATTAAGTTTTGGTTTGAAACAGCCAATATTTTAAAAAATTGTCAAGTTAGTTACCAAACCAAAAAAATCAATTGTTTGCTTAGCTCTAGTACTGAGGTAAGGATAGCACTGTCCACCAGCCAGTTTAATGGAGAAATGCATATTATTCACCTAAGATGTATGTATTTCTTTTTACTTTGAAAGGTTTTATATTTACTAATAATATAATTTAGTATGTTTATTCTGTGATTTTATCATGGCTTTAGTCTATTGAGGACATATATAATTTAATAAACATACTTTTTTTAAAAAAATGTAATGATTGCACCAAATTGTGTTAACTGCTTCCCAAGTGTAATTTTATAAAATCAAAGATATTTTGAGCTGATTGCAAAAGTGTCTTAAATCAACATATTTCCTTAATGAATAAAATTCACCTGTATTTCAAAATTACCATTTTGAAATCTTTTTCTAAATTTGATCCTGCAGAAAATTTTAACAGTAGAACATGCTAACTCAGGGGTGGGCCAACTTTTTGGCTTGAAGGCCACATCTGGGTATGGAAATTTGTATGGCAAGCCATGAATGCTCACAAAATTGAGGGTTGGGGTGTGGGAGGGCTCTGGCTAGGGGTGCTGGCTCTGGGGTGGTGTTGGGGGTGCAGGAGGGTGCTCCAGGCTGGGACTGAGGGGTTCGGAGGACAAGAGGGGGATCAGGGCTGGGGCAGGCTCCGTGCAGTGCTTACCTCAAACAGCTCCCAGAAACAGCGGCATGTTCCCCCTCCGGCTCCTATGTGGAGGCACAGCCAGGCAGATCTACCCACTTCCCTGTCTGCAGGCAACACTCCTGCAGCTCTCATTGGCTGCAGTTCCCGACCAATGGGAGCTGCAGGGCAGTGTGCAGAGCCCCCTAGCTGCACCTACGCGTAGGAGCCAGAGGGGGGACATGCCGCTGCTTCCAGGAGCTGTGCGGAGTGGGGCAAGACCCTGACCCCGCTCCCTAGCTGGAGTGCCAGAGCGGGGCAAGCTTCAGACCCCACTTCCCAGCAGGAGCTCGAGGGCTGGATTAAAACATCTGGAGGGCCACATGTGGCCTCCAAGCCATGGTTTGCCCACCTCTGTGCTAACTGCTTTAAAATATTTGGATAATTTTAGCGTGATCAAATAATGATTTCAAATACTATGGGTTTTTTAATGCAAGTCTTGTTCAGTGTTTTCACGATAAAGAGGACAGAACATTATTTGATAAAAATTTGCAGTTCCCTTTTACATACCTTTATTTTGGATTTTTTTCCAAAAGTCATCAAGTTTCCAAAGGAAGTAATTGTTTTGAACTTCAGAAATTGTTAATCTTCCTCTAAATTTGTAATTTGTTCACTCTCTGGTAAAATATCTGATTAATACTGTATCTCCAAGTGCAACCCTGAACCATGTAAAAGGGAGAAGAACTGATGTTAACTGAAATGCAGTTGTTCGTTTATGTTGTCTTATCAAGGGCTACTCTGGCGGTGCACAATCAGCAGAGGTTGATTTTAACAGTTTTTGCAATCTGATAGCAGAAAAGCTTTTTACCTAAAGCCAACTTAGTGTTTAAAGCTTCTGCTTTTCTGTCTCTAATGGAGCCCCTAGTTGTGGTCACTTTTCCTGCACAGAGGTGAGAAGGCAACGGTGAGTAAACACCTCCAGCAACTCTACAGAGACTTAAAATCAAGATTTGTAACAATAAAATGTCTTACCTGAGACACTTGAAAACCACAAGACTGATGATTTTGGTTTCCTGTCCATGGCTGCAGGTTCCTCAGAAATTTCAAAATCTCCCCATTTCACTCCCAGGTGGAATTTCAAGAACAAGTTCAGCAGTGGAGAGGAGCCGACACACATCAAGAGATGTTTGGGTGGGGAGGGGTGTGATGCTGTATGATTGGATATGACCATTTATATTATTGATATTACCACTGTTATACAATTGCAGCAAATCTTGTATAAAGTATGTCGTGTAAGGTGTCAATGAAAAAGTTATGATTTTCTCTAAGTATGATTATCCTGTTTATATGCATCTATCATCTTTGTATCTAAAGTTATGAATATTGGCCATGGACTTATCTTACGCATGTGTTTGTGTTCATGGGTAACACCCACCAGATAGTATTTTCATGGAGGCCAGACAGCTATGTGTCGATGGCCCATTAAGGACACTTCACTCGAAAAATGGGCCATAGAAGAAACTCATCCTACCCAGTAAGCCTTCCTGGGATGCCTCAGAAAGAATATGGACAATGGCAGCCCCGGTGAGTCATCAAAGCATGTAGGGACATGTGATATGCTCATGTGACCCTGGACTCCATCGTGGGCCAGTAACTTTCCACAAACAGAGGCTGTGAGCTTAGTTTGGGACAGTAAAATTCTATGCACATGGCAGAGGATATAAAAGGATCCTTGAGATATTTCCATTTTGTCTTCATTTCCTGTTTCATTTCTCTGGACTGGATTTCTAACAAGGAAGCTTTGAAAAAGGACAGATGACCCCCCAATATGCCTGGGTAAATTCCACAGAGACTTTTGCAAGCCAGCAGCTTATTCCATCATTACTATGATCCTGATCTATGAACACTGAAAAATCACTTGTATGTATATGCTCTATTAACCATTAATAACACTCTTCTTTTTTTTTAATTAAACTTTTATTTTTTAGTTACTAAAGGACTGGCATAGCATGATTATTGAGTAAGCTGAATTATATATTGACCTAAGTGGCTGATCTCTTGGGATTAGAAGTACCCTATAATTGATTACATTGGTTTTCAGTAACCACTTATCATATAGTCCATTGTCTGGGGGATAAAACCAAGGCTGGAATGCCTAAGGAGACTGCATTTTTGATTGCTTGTTAACTAGTGTGGTGATACAGAAGTTTACTTTGTTACTGGCTTGGTATAACCTAATGATAGAATAACCACCAGTTTGGGGTGAATCTGCCCTATTTCTCAACAGTGTGTCCTGAATTTGGCATTGAGGTGACAAGGGGTCAGTGAGGGGCTCAAAATCAAGACAGATTTTTATCTGAATCAGTATTTCCCCCCTAGACATTGTAATCCCGATACAGAGCTACAGCACTCTCTGAGGGAGTTACCATTTGAATTGCAGGATAGTAGGTGAAGGGGTGGGAGCTCTGGCTCTTTAAACACCACTGCTCAGTGTTCCCATTCTGAATCCTGTGATTTGGTTGCTTAGTGACAGAGGAACACTCAGTCTGTCTGAAGCTGACAAGGAGCCTAGAGAGAAACTCAGCAAGGTGGAGTCTGTCTGCATTTGTGAAAATCAGCCATCACCTACAGCAATACTCAGACCTGGCATTTATAAGGCAGTTTTCATCTATAGATCTCAACACAGTTTACAAAGGACAGTAAGTATTAGAATAAATCAGCTCCTTCCTTCTGCAGTTCTAGACAGCCGAAGTGACTATCAGCACCATTACTGCTATGCAACATACTGGAGGGCAGGTGAAAAAGACCAGGAAAAAAATCTATGCTCTACCAGATTTAGAGGGGGGAACAGTGAAATAGCCCTCTGAGCTATTTGTTCCCTGGCTCAAAATGTTCAATAGCTTCCCATCCCAAGGCAATGTCATTTTTGATCCTCTCCTCTATCTAGTTTCTATAACTTTATGAAATATTTTATTTATATTTAATACACTGATTTTTGTATAGTGCTATAGATGTGCATGACACTTTTAAAGACAAAATGACAAAGTAACTGACAGCTTAAAAAATTTGACATAACCACAAGGGCCAACAAAAAGATGTGTGGAGTGTATATTGCATATGGGATGAAGATGTGATAAATTGTGAAACCATGTGACAAGTTGTCATGTACCTTTTCCTGCCTCATCTGCCCTACTAATTCATCTTTCCAGAGACATACTAATTTACACTGGTGTGAATGTGAGCACAGTCAAACCTTTGATGTTTGCATGTATTATTCTGACTGGTTGTTAGAGGTGTTTTAAAATAGAGGGAAATTATAACACAAGGCCTCTACAGCTGAGCTCTTAATTAAAGTAAATACAAGAAATTGTTTCAATAGCATTTTACAAACTCTAACACACTTGTAACATATTTTTTCTGAAAAATACCCAGCATATACAGAATACACGTTGGTCTCTGATATGGCCTGCATAACTCAATTGTGCCTTGGCCATTTATGAATAACAGGACATCCCAAACTTATGTAAACAAAACTACACAACCCCATGATGTATTTTGTGATGTGACTGAACTTGTTGTGTGTATGTATCCAGCACCATACCTCATTTGCGACTTGAATGCAGCAGCTGTACTAGATAAGTGTCACTGTGCACAACATGCATGAGGCATCAAGGAGAAAATAATTTTGTCCCCAATAACCCCTTCCTGTGTTTCAAATTGTGTGCAAAGGGTGTGCTAATTCAGGCCCTATTTTGCTGCTTGTCCTCCAGTGTGGGTGTCCCCCCACAATAGATGTCCCCACTATAACCACAACTGTGCTATTAATTGTCCATTAACAGCACTGTCAAGCCTACTCCTACTGCTAAAACATCACAGATGATCTAGATCTTTAGGAGTGGTACTGACACAGAGCTGTGCTGATAAACATTGCCTGGATTTTTACATAGCGTTGGTTTTTGATGGGTTTTTTAAACTATTTTCTTTGGCAGATTGATTAATATTATTACACTATGATTAAATGTTCCAATATTGTTTGCTCTGTTAATACACCAGTGTATAAATACTACAACACTCCCCAGGATGTGCATCAGTTGGCCAAGATACGCACCCTTCCTCACACCCTTACATAATTGTTCTTTGATTATCATAAAGCTAACATTTCAATAACAGCTTTGTTACTAATACAAATAAGCTTGAATTTTGTGTTTCAGGGTAAGCAAGCTAAGGACAAGACAACAAAATTTTCCAAAAAAAAATCATGCAAGGAAAGAAGAAAGAGAAAATTAAAACAAAAGACAGTTCACTTTCTGACATTTCCATTCTTGAAAAGTTTATGAAAACCTATGAAAGGCATTGTGCCTTTTCCCAAAGCTCTGTCAGTGGCATGATCAAACGGAGCTTAAGAAAATGCATAGAAAATGAAACTATTCTTACAAAGGTAAATATGTTCTACATAATAATTTAAGGTGAGATTAAAGAGGTGGAAAATAACTGCTTTGATTCTGTAACTTTTCTCTGTTATGCCTTTCAAGTTTTATGTTGAGCACTCGGAGCTCTGGTAGGTGTTCTCTGGAATGGAGTTTTAAGACTGAAATAAATAACAAATATCCATTGAATTATGTAGTGACCCAGCAAGGCTGGGCTATGCTACCTGTGAGGAGAGGCAGAGGCAAACCAAGACAAAAGGGATAATTTTACATTTTTAGAACTTTAGAAGGGAAAACCTCAACCTTGTACCAGGATCACAAATAATATAGACCATTACCAAAGACAAATTACTTATCAAAATAAACTATAGGTTACCAACTCATTAACTTTTGTGAGCTTGTACACATTGTGCAGTTAGTAGCAAATCCATTGTTATTAATAAGAGCAAACGATATAGTGTGTCACTTCAGAGAAAAATCAACTTTTCCTCTCCTTGGCTGTAAGTCCAATTCCACTCTTGCGGTCCTGTTTTTGGCTTCTCTTTGGCTTGAAGTGCTCCTGTAGCTGTACCTTTTTTCACTTAGTTTATCCACAAGTTTCTTCCCCTACTAGGCCCTCACTTGTCTATTAGAAACTTTGAACTGTATTCCTTCAATTGATGTTCAAACAGTCATTCTCTTTGTTCATACACTTTAGGTACTTTGCAGGTGGGCTTCTCATTTACTGATGCCAGGATCTGTTTTCATCTAACACAGCTTTATGATCAATTTCCTTTTCCACCAACTATATATCCTTTCAGGGGGGTTTTCCTGGATACTCTCTCTCTCTCTCTCTTTCTCTCTCTGTGTAAGTCCGTAGATTTTATTTCTCACTACTTCTCTAATAGTACCTGCTCACATACCTAGGTCTATTTTTTTCTGCTTCTCCTGATGTGAAACCTTTCCTATTTTCCTTCTCTCCTCCCTCTCCCTTGCCAGTCCCCTACTTTTATTTTCCTGGTCTTCTTTCATTTTATCACGTCACCTCCTACCGAGGCTCCAGGTCATCTGTTAGCTCAGCATTTTGATTCTTCTTCTTCTCTAACAGCTTTTATTCCAACTGTCCCTTCGGGTGCATTCCAAGCCCCCTCCCCAGCTCGAGCTGCCCTCTTGCTGTCTGTCTCTGCCTGAGACAGCATTCTGTGCTGCTGCACCACAGCTACAGCAGGTACTAGTCCCAGGGGGAGGGTGACTACAATTACACTATATTCTTACTATGAATGTGTTCTAGACGTTTACATGGGCTTCCTCTCCAATGAATGTAGATCATATTCCTAAACCAGGCACCTAAATGTAGCCACTCCTATAAAACTGGCAGAGCATCTGTAGCTTCCAATGAATCCTAACTTTAGGTGACTAAACATGGATTTAGGTATAGTGTCTGTCTAACTGTAGGCACTCCATTTGAAAATTTTGATTATAATCCTGAAAAGAAACCTGCAAATGCATCCCCTGCCTTCCAAATGTGCCATAATTAGCTATTATATACTTACATTGTCCAGATAACCAGGTTAAGAGGAGCATAGAGCACATTAACTTAGAATGTTCTTGTGCTCTTGTCTCTAGAAATGCCTGATTTCTTTTTTATAGTTCCATAAGATATAAATCTAGGACATAAAATAATTCTTTCCAGGCTGATCTACAGGGTCAGATGGTAAAAATGCCTACACCTTGTTTATTCTATTCATTATGGGTACAAAGACTGGAGCTGCACCAATATAGAAAATAATGTGCTGAATGTCCCTTTTGCCCTGATTATTTAAGGAATTCTGCACAATTTTTTATCTATTGATATGCAGAGGATCTTTGACTTCTGATAACATTTATAGATCACCATTAATGTATAGTACATTTAGATAACGGTATATTTTATGCTTGGGTTCCTAAAATATAATGTGCATTTGTTTCTGTTTTGATTACACCAAATTGTAATTAAATTTTGTTTTTTAGTTTGTGCTCACAAACTCTCAGAATTCCCAGCCAGTCTTCCTCACACCTCTATTAAGGACAATTAGAGATGAACGGTATATGTTAGGAAAAGAACTCTGTATCTGGGGAATTCAGCTAAACAATCAAGACATTGCAAACCTTGTAAGTAAAATAAAATACATAATATCATATAAAAAGTAGACATTTAAAGAGAAGCTGACGGAAAGTGAAAGGATTTTGGTTTTTGTTCTTTTATTTTTGCATTAATATAGGCAGTGATGGGTAAATTGGAAATACCAGTGCCTAGCTAGAATGATTGCATATGTAAATGAAAATGTGTAGGAAGACAATGGATAATTGTGTAGCGAAATGGCCAATGCAAATTACACCAGATATACAAACAGACGTTTTTTAAAAAACTATCCTGGATTTTACACAGTTCCACAAATGTAGACCAGAAGGCCTATTGAGAAAATGAACAAACACATTCTGAGACACAAAGATTTCAATTGTGGGGGTAATATGATTTCATGCCCAAAGAGTTTAATTTTTTCATATGTGCCCAAATCCAGTCAGATATCTTTTCTAATGTCGGGTCTTGATTATAACACCTATCAGGTGTTTCTAGCACACACAAACTTGGTGAGACATATGTATCAGCTCTGACAAAAACTGAAGCAATTTTGAAAATCTAACTTACTTCTCCCCATTTATACTGTAGTTTATTTACAGCCAGGGCCAGTGGAAGGATGTTTCACACCCTAGGCGAAACTTCAACCTTGCGCCAGTCCCTGAGCCTCTGCCCTGAGGTGCTCCCCCAGCGGCAGCTCCCTCCCTCTGCCCTGAGGCGCCCCCCCACGGCAGCTCCCCACCCCCACCCTGAGGCACCTCTCCAGCCCCAGCTCACCCCTGCCCCACCTCCTCCCCGAGCACGCCATCACTGCTTCACTTAGCGCCTAAGCTGATTGGCACCACAAGCCTGGGAGGCGGGAGAAGTGAAGCAGCTCACCCCTGCTCCGCCTCCTCCCCGAGCACGCCGTCACTGCTTCACTTCTCCCGTCTCCCAGGCTTGTGGCGCCAATCAGCTTAGGCACCGGGAGGCGGGAGAAATGAAGCAGCCATGGCATGCTCGAGGAGGAGGTGGGGCAGGGGTGAGCTGGGGCGGAGAGTTCCCCTGCATGCCACCCCCCCGCTTGCTGCAGGCGGTCCTCCCCGCGCTCCACTGCCCCAGCTCCCTCCGCCTAAATGCCGGCGGCGACCGGGGCGGCCGAAGATCCGGCCGCCGCGGTCGCTGCTGAAGAAAATGGCGCCCCCCCAAATCCTAGCGCCCTAGGCGACCGCCTAGGTTGCCTAAATGGTTGCACCAGCCCTGTTTACAGCGTATCTCTGAGTGTTCAATGAAACAAACTAGCCGGTTTCACTTTGGTTTATAATCAATTTCTAGTCTGTTTCATTTTCAGATTCTCATGCATAGGGCCCTACCAAATTCATGACCATGAAAAACTTGTCACGGGCTGTGAAATCTGGTCTTTTGTGTGTTTTTACCCTATACAAATTTCACAGGGGAGACCAGCGTTTCACAAATTGGGGGTCCTGATTCAAAAGGGAGTTGCAAGGGGGTCACAAGGTTATTTTACAGGGGTCTCAGTATTGGCACCCTTACTGCTGCGCTGCCTTCAGAGTTGGGTGGCCAGACAGCAGCAGCTGCTGGCCAGGTGCCCAGCTCTGAAGGCAGCATCCCACCAGTAGCAGCGCAGAAGTAAGGGTGGCAAAACCTTACTATGCCACTCTTACTTCTGTGCTGCTGCCTTTCAGAACTGGGAGGCCAGAGAGTGGCGGCTGCTGACTAAGGGACCAACTCTGCAGGCAGCAGCGCAGAAGTAAGGGTGGCAATACCATACCATACCATCCTTATTTCTGTGCTGCTGCTGGCAGCAGTTCTGCCTTCACAGCTGGGCTCCCAGCCAGCACTCTCCCGCTACCCAGCTCTGAAGGCAGCGCTGCCAGCAGCCACGCAGAGTAACGGTAGCAGTACCACAACCCCCCCCTACAATAACCTTGCGACCCCCCCACCACACACACAACTCCTTTTTGGGTCAGGACCCCTACAATTACAACACTGTGAAATTTCAGATTTAAATAGCTGAAATCATGAAATTTACTATTATTAAAATCCTATGGCCGTGAAATTGAGCAAAATGGACCATGAATTTGGTAGAGTCCTGCTCATGCACTAATACAATAGTGTAAAGTTTTGGTTGAAAATGTTTGGGAGTTTCATGCCCCACAGATCTGTGCATGGACAATCTTCTCTATATGGATCTCTGACTTCCTGTATAGTAGAGGGGCTCAGCTGCCCTCAAAGTACTGTAGCATCCATCCTTCCTTTGGGTCCTAGGGAGGCCTTCGCTGCTCCAGGTATCTTGATGCAGGAAGGGAGTGGGAGACTGGTGTGCCAAGAGGGGAGCTGGCAGGTCAGATAAGGAACACACTTGATTCCCACCCCCCCAGGCCTAGGGGAGTGGGCAAGGCAATAAAAATGCTTTCTAGAGTTGATGTTTGAAGAACAGAAGACACTTAGGATGAATATGCTTGAAGTGATTACATTACTGGTTATTCTGTGATCTAAGTCCAGTTCCCAGTGGAAAGAGTCCATAATACACAAACCATCACCACAATTAACTCTAACTGTTTGCTAGGTTAGCAATCTCAGCAGAGAGGCCAAGAGATGAATGTGCATGGAGAATTAACTATCCTCTCTCCCCAAGAGTTGGTCTCTGTAGATTAAAGTTGTGGCATATTGTAGGAGAAGCTTGCACTGCCACTGCCTATAATGTCTGTGTATGGAGGATAAACAGAGAACATCAGAGAAAGTACACAGGAAAATTTAGATTTCAAAAATATAAAAACCAAACCAAAAACTTGCCTTTGTTATCAGAAGTGTGCGGTTCTGTTTCATAACAGCAGATGTCTATTCATATTTTGCATTTCTAGGCAATGCTTTTAGAGCGGAATGGACGTACCAACTATCCCTTTTGTACTCTAGAAATAACTCATGCTCAGATAGATGCATGGTCCATGGAGCGACTTGGAGCAGCTTTCCCTTTCAGCAACTTGAACTCCATTGTTCTAGATTATACCAAGTAAGAGAGAGGAGTGAGTGTGAGTTTGAACAGTGCTTGTTATGTTCAGTATATCCTCAAAGTCAGAACAGTTCTGATATGAAGTTTCTCCGCTGAAACAATGGTTCCCAAGTTCCTCATCCCCATAGTAATGAAAATCTATTACTGGTTGTGGATAAATCCCCAGACTGACTTTCAGTTACCCAAAATGTCTTTTTTTTTCCCCACCTGAATCCATAATTCAGATAAATGTAGTTCCCCTGTACTAATTCATTATAATTTCCATCTAAGAACTGGATTTTACAAAGAATGAGCTATAGTTCTCTATCTATAGAAAACTTGCACCTGAAATGGTCTTCCTTTCCAGCTAAGCATTTCTTAATGTGCCCATCATCTGAGTACTGAGGTGCCATATACAAAAGCACACTCTTGTCCCAGACCTTTGTTTACACCACTGTTAAATGGGATTTTACTTGTTGCCTATGTCTCCAGAAGCAACACTGCTGGGTCAGTCTGCAGTCACTGCTGCTGAAGGAAGGCTTGCACAAAGACAAAGAGAGTTATTTTGAGCCTTCAGTGTGTCAAAATTGAGGCTCAGCCTGATCTCTGGAAGTAGGAAATCCTACAGTTGAGTCTTTACACTAAGTGTGCCCTGTTTCCAGCCTCCAAGAGTTACCCTGGGGCTGTCTGCTGCAGCATCTCTGTTGAATGCAGCTGTCGTGGTGAGTAGTGAAGACAGAGGCAGTCTCTGCCATAGGTACGCTCTAACCCACTTTGGATTTTAAAGATTAGAACCATGATCCGAAGAAGATACAGAATTGGATAAGAGCTAGTGCAGCACCTAGAGCACAAGTTTAAGGTATATTTGTTGGTCTGCTTGTGCCCTAATAGTTGGGCTAGTGTATATTGAAATGAAGCTTCCATGACGCCTTCACAGTCAGTCACAGGTAGAGTGCACTGCAGTAGCCTAGCCTCAAGGTGATGAAAGCATGGGCCACTGTGGCTATGTCTACATTTGAAAGTAAAAAGCAGTCCAGGTGAGGATGGAAAAAAGGCATTTATTGGCAGCGGTCAGGAACAGCTGGAGTCAGCGCAATAAAAACTCTTATCCTTCCAACAAGAGGGAGGTTTATGACAAGGTGGTAGTTGCTGCAGTCTTTTGTTCTAAGTGACGGTTTGTTGAACACAGGCTGGACTATTGCATGTTTCAGGATGCAAAAAGGTATTCTCTTTGAAGGTGACATTTATAGTCTTGGTCAGCAGATAGACATAACTAATCTATTCTCTTTTACAGGTTTGGAGATAAAGGAATCAACGGACTTGTTTCTGGGTTAGAGGGAAACAGAAAGCTTCTAACCCTCAGCTTATGCTACTGCAGTTTGGAACCTGAAAGTGGGTCCAAGTTAGGCCCCATTGTAGCCCAAACTGCCATTTGGTAAGATTAAAACTCTTTCTGGAATTGTTTAACTTTGCTTGATGATTACATCACTCTTCCTTTCTAAAAACTTTAGAGAGTTGCCCATTCTTTTTCATATTAAATCTATATTTTCACCAGGAGAGATTTTATTGTTAGCTCATATTTTATTGTTTTGTGCTTCAGGTTTAATTAATTTGAGCTGGCTTATACTTTATACTGTATACATTTCATTAAAAAGTCCAGCTTCAACAGCAGCCAGTTAATAGGCCAAAATTAGTCCAATTCAACCAAAAGTTCTTAGAACTCCACTATCAGCTTTCAGTTCTCAGCTGCTTAAGGCCGTCGAAACTTTAGACTGAAGTCTTGCTTTCTTTTTCATCTGATGAGGAATGGTGTTGTTTCAAATAATCAGGGCTGACTGCTGCTGGGGCTTCAGCCCTTCAAATGTCACCCATGGAACAGAGATGCTTACTGAGTTGGAGCTAAGAAAAAAAGCCAGGCTACAATTTGAGTCTTCAAATATACATTTGTTGAGAGCAAAAGCAAAGGCCAAGTGGATTCAACTTTGGAACATAAAGTCATTGTATGGTAGATAGATAAGAAACCCTGGTGGTCACCTCAGGCAGCTAGTTTAGAAGCTGCCCCCAGGCATGATCTTCACAGCCTCTAATCAACTTTGCAGTGTTTGCAGGAAAAGGTGGCACCTCTTGTCCAGTAAAGAATCATTGGTAGCATCAGCTGAAGTCGGAAAGATCAACTGCATCAATGGTAAGATTGTTTCAAGATGTTTCTCAATTTTGCACTGCCTGCAGTCCCTCTTCAATTTGAAGTGGGACAAGAAGTTCAGGCAGACTCACCTTCCATCAGCCTAGAAGAAATTCAGATCGCAGTGCATAAATTGAAGTCTGGGAAGGCACCTGGGAGTTGTAACTTCACCCCTGAATTGCTGAAGACGAGCAAGAGTATTGTACCATGGCTGCACAGGCTCTTCCAGATCATCTAGCACATTAATATCATTCCTGATAACCGAAATAAAGATGTTATTCTGCCCCTGTTAAAAGGGGTGATAAGGCTGAATGTAGCAACGATAGTGGTATTATGCTGTTGTCAGTCTTAGGAAAAGTCTTCACTTCTGTCTTAATCTCTCAAATTAATGATGCATTTCATAGCAAAGGTGGAAATTCTCAGTGCGCTGTCAGATTTGGTCATTCCACTGTCAACTAGATCTTTACCTTGACGCAACTTCTGGAGAAGCTGGATGGATTTAATATGCTATTTTAAGTACTTTTTAGAGACTTCTGTCAGGCCTTTGATTCAGTGCATCAAACAAGTTTGTAGGATGATAAGGAAACTTGCCATCTCTGGGAAGATAGTGTTGATAGAAGATTGATAGAAGAGCTCTATAATGGGACAGAAAGCTGTGTTCGAGTCAATGGCAGATATATGGCATGGTTTCTTATTTCCACCGGACTTCAGCGAAGCTGCATTCTGTCACCATCAATGTTCAATATTCACATTGACTGGTTGATGGACTAGAGGAGGCAGCTGTCAGTGGTGTTGAGCTGAATGTCATTCTGCTTCGAGATTTTGAATACCCTGATGACATTGTCTTGTTGGCTCAGTTCAATGAAACACTACAAGCTGATGGCCAAGCTGGTTAGGCCTGAAGCAATGCGCTTTGGTCCAGTTATTAATCTGGATACAACTAAATCCCTGGCTATTACCATCAAGCAGCCTCCATCTCCAGATTACAATCCCAATATTAACTTGTCCAATCAAGACATCAAGTAAGTGGCAACTGTCAAATACTTGTAAAGCATCATAGATAGTGCTGGAGGGTGCGCCAAAGATGTGGACACTCATATAGCAGCAGGTGCTGCCATACTTTGGGACCTTCAGCAGCCTCTGTGGGAGCACTGTGACATCACGCTTGCTACAAAGCTGTGGATCTATAGAACCATGAATATACCAACTCTGTGGTATGGCAGTGAAACATGGCACAGAAAAGCTGAAGAGTGGCAGATGGATGACATTGATTCTTGTCATCTTTGTCAGCTTCTTCACATTAAGTGGCAGGACAAGATCAGAAATGAAGACATTCATAGCAGATCCTAGCAACTGCTTGCATGAGTACTGGTTCTATTTTGGTGGCTTTTTTAGTAGACGTGTTATTAGGATGGAAGACCAGCGAATTATAAATTGTGTTTACCAAGAAATGGTCACCAAAAGCTTTGGTGGTGCGATAAGATTGCCAATGGTGGACATAAACTGAACATCCAGTCATACCACCTTAAAAACCTAGCTAGAGATCAATCTGGGCGGTGCTCAGTTGCCCTGCAAGGAGGGTACATTCCTTTGGGATCTGCCATGATGATGATATGTCTATAAATTTTCACTACTGTTCTTTTATATGTAATCTGTACTATATGCTATGAGAATGTTTTAGTGTGTGCTTTTGTGGCAATGTTTTTAATGGACTCTGACATACACAAGACAGAAGATGTGACATGTATCTAAGGTGCTAGAGAAAACTACATGCTGATATAATGAATATGAGAAACAGAATGGGATCCTAAAAAGCATTTACAATGCATGTGCACAAGGGAGAGTGTTAAAATGATCAGAGATGATTTTCCCTTTGGAAGTCTACTTGCAGATATTATAAGGGAAAAATACTGGACTATTCAAGGGCAATATGTGTACTATCCATTGACCAAAGACAACATTTCACTCGGCCTTTCAGGGACCTCAGGAATCCTGAAGTGTTTTTTTCCTAGCCTCATACATTTTATTGATAAGTCTTTTCTTACCCTTGATAAGCCCTCTGAAATGTTTGTATGACCCAAAGCTGTTGACTACAGTTACTCTGGTCAGCTCTTTCTAATTTCCCTGTATATCTTCCTAAAGTTGATTTAATTGACTCCTTAAAGCCTTATAATCCAGCAAAGAAAGTGAATGTTTATAAGTCCAACGAGCCATACTTCATGCAAGTGACATTCATGTCACTTTCAAGGGGAAAGGAGTCCCATCTTTACTCTCTCTTGGACTTTGCTGGAGAAAGTATTCCTTTAATGGTAATGGTGTGTTCCTAGGCATGATGCAGGATTCTGGACATTCCTACCCCAGTTCAAATGAAGGAGGCAGCAAATATTAATCAATTTAGAAAAACAGCCCAATCCAACAAAGTATTTATGCACCTTCTTAACTTTGGGCACATCATTAATCACACTGGTGTTGATGGAACTACTGACATATCTAATGTAATGGCACTGCTTACATCCCTAAAAGTTAAGCACGTACTTTGGGAGACTTAAACAGTTATTCTTGTGAGATTGAATTAGAGTCATCAAAGCCATATTTTATCTTCGACATTATCTTTACTTGATTTTATTATATCAACAACTAGAACTTCTGAAATCAGCATTCAGAGTTTTAAGTCCAATTCAAGTTTAATTAAGCCTCCTTGGTATTAAAAAGAGACTATTTACCCCAATTTTTTTCTGTTACAATTACTATAATTTTAGGTTTCAGAGTAGCAGCCGGGTTAGTCTGAATCCGCAACAAGAACAGGAGTACTTGTGGCTCCTTATAGACTAACAAAATTCCCAGTCCTTATTCAATCCTGAGTTGATTGTGTCTAGTTTGCATATCATTTCCAGCTCAGCAGTCTCTCGTTGGAGTCTGTTTTTGAAGTTTTTCTGTTGTAATATAGCCACCCGCAGGTCTGTCACTGAATGACCAGACAGGTTATAGTGTTCTCCCACTGGTTTTTGAGGATTTTGTTGCCGGTTATCGGATTTTAGACCTT